AAAAAAAAAAAGAGCACGATGTTCCTGGATCAGCGGAAATGCACTGTGCTAGGGCGCTGCGTAGCGTCCGATAAGAATGGGCCCTTACAGCGCAGAGGCAGCCCCACTACAAGGGTAGTATTTTGGTTTGCCCGGAGACTAGATACTAGAGTTTCTTTCAGCAAAGCAATCATATTGAACAATAGCAAGTGACAGCCGAAGCTGGGCGATCGGCTGAGTCGAAGTTCCTCTGCACTTCCGCTCAGCCGAACATCTGAAATCATCCGTACTCAGCCGTAGTGAATAGCTGAACGTTGTTCGGTTCACTTAACTTCGGCTTGGTTATTCACTCGGGCAGCTTTGTGAATAACCCCCGAAGTATTAGTGTTCACATCGTTTTTCCATCCGTGGCCTCGATTTTTTATAACATTTGCTTAAAATATGAATGCAGTGTAAAACGCTGTGTGCGAGATTCCATAAGAAAGACTGTTTTATTATTATGACTTCAATGGGATCACATTTCAAGAAACATGGAAGTGAATGTAAACTTAACTATGAACCTTTCTTATTGCTGCCTTTTGGTTTGTTCACTATACCATTGGAAACATTCCCGTGTATCTGTTTCATATGTGTTGATCTTGTCAGAAATTCAGAGCTGTCCTGTGTCCCCTGCACATTTCCTGTGGTATCTTCCTAATTCTTATCTTGGGCTACAGAATGAGTCTCCTTTATGTGGTGGAGATCTGAGAGTGTGAGTGGTTGAGTAGTTCAGCAAAAAGACAACTTGGAAGGCCAAAGAAAAGCTTTGTGTTGTCATCCCACAACAGAACCAACGACATGAGGGCATTTCGGGCAGATCAACAGGTATTTTTCTGTAATGGACAGGGACTGCCGACACTTGTAGTGCCCTCACACACAGTCAGTCCCGGATACACACAGCAGGACTTCCAAGAGCCGCTGGCTGAAGTTTTTTCTGCCTGAGCACAGGCTAGAATGAAAAAATAAAACCTTCTTGTCGCAGTACAAAGCTCAGGACTGGCAGGCCTAATAAAATCTTGTGGTGGGCCCGTTACTGGCCCGCAGGCCTTGTAATTGACATATGTGCTTTAACCCTTTTGCTGCCACCGACATAAGGCTGGCGGCGGAACACAACTGCTTCCAGCTGGCCACGTTAGTAAGCCTTACGTCGGCGGCTTTTACTATTCTGCTATAAAGCTCATGGTCGCTTTAGAGATTTTTAGGGATTAGGTTTTCGGATAACTTATCGATGAAATGTACAATTATACTATTATTGTGACATGCCAGGAATTTATTCATGCAGACTTCTTACTGGAAGCTCCACTCTAACTGTTCCTATAAACATCCACTTCAAATGCACTTCTAAACATACAATATTTACACCAACATCGTCCAGAAATATGTACAGCCGAGCACTAGATAGCAGAAACCAGAGCTCTGTCTGTGATTTTCATGTAAACAGGAAGACATTCTTACCCATTTGACTAAGGCATCTTTAATGGTTGTTGCTTTGGCCTAAAATAAAGAAAGACAGAATCAAGTTCGGCAATCGATTTTAATATCAATTTCATGTAAGTGCACAGAAATTAAATTGTTTCCTTTAAAAAATCAAAAGGCATTCTTTTCACTTTTTGTTGGTAGCCAAGGAGCCCATATGTGCACCGACAACATGCCTACAAGTCCATAGAGACCAGCCAAAAACTGCTGCTGGTGCCATGGAGGCCCTATAAACACAGACAGACAAAAGAGTTGCTCCCATGAAGACTCCAAATGCACAGACAATACAGCTGCTGGTGCCATGGAGAGCCTATATGTACTAACAAAATGCTGCTGTGGAAAACCTACATGCAGACAAGGCTACTGCTGGTGCCATGGTGACCCTATATGCACAGGAAACTGATACTGGTGCCACGGTGATACTATATGCATAGGAAACTGATACTGGTGCCATGGTGACCCTATATGCACAGAAAAGTGATACTGTTGCCATGGTGACCCTATATGCACAGAAAAGTGATACTGTTGCCATGGTGACCCTATATGCACAGAAAAGTGATACTGTTGCCATGGTGACCCTATATGCACAGAAAAGTGATACTGTTGCCATGGTGACCCTATATGCACAGAAAAGTGATACTGTTGCCATGGTGACCCTATATGCACAGAAAAGTGATACTGTTGCCATGGTGACCCTATATGCACAGAAAAGTGATACTGTTGCCATGGTGACCCTATATGCACAGAAAAGTGATACTGTTGCCATGGTGACCCTATATGCACAGAAAAGTGATACTGTTGCCATGGTGACCCTATATGCACAGAAAAGTGATACTGTTGCCATGGTGACCCTATATGCACAGAAAAGTGATACTGTTGCCATGGTGACCCTATATGCACAGAAAAGTGATACTGTTGCCATGGTGACCCTATATGCACAGAAAAGTGATACTGTTGCCATGGTGACCCTATATGCACAGAAAAGTGATACTGTTGCCATGGTGACCCTATATGCACAGAAAAGTGATACTGTTGCCATGGTGACCCTATATGCACAGAAAAGTGATACTGTTGCCATGGTGACCCTATATGCACAGAAAAGTGATACTGTTGCCATGGTGACCCTATATGCACAGAAAAGTGATACTGTTGCCATGGTGACCCTATATGCACAGAAAAGTGATACTGTTGCCATGGTGACCCTATATGCACAGAAAAGTGATACTGTTGCCATGGTGACCCTATATGCACAGAAAAGTGATACTGTTGCCATGGTGACCCTATATGCACAGAAAAGTGATACTGTTGCCATGGTGACCCTATATGCACAGAAAAGTGATACTGTTGCCATGGTGACCCTATATGCACAGAAAAGTGATACTGTTGCCATGGTGACCCTATATGCACAGAAAAGTGATACTGTTGCCATGGTGACCCTATATGCACAGAAAAGTGATACTGTTGCCATGGTGACCCTATATGCACAGAAAAGTGATACTGTTGCCATGGTGACCCTATATGCACAGAAAAGTGATACTGTTGCCATGGTGACCCTATATGCACAGAAAAGTGATACTGTTGCCATGGTGACCCTATATGCACAGAAAAGTGATACTGTTGCCATGGTGACCCTATATGCACAGAAAAGTGATACTGTTGCCATGGTGACCCTATATGCACAGAAAAGTGATACTGTTGCCATGGTGACCCTATATGCACAGAAAAGTGATACTGTTGCCATGGTGACCCTATATGCACAGAAAAGTGATACTGTTGCCATGGTGACCCTATATGCACAGAAAAGTGATACTGTTGCCATGGTGACCCTATATGCACAGAAAAGTGATACTGTTGCCATGGTGACCCTATATGCACAGAAAAGTGATACTGTTGCCATGGTGACCCTATATGCACAGAAAAGTGATACTGTTGCCATGGTGACCCTATATGCACAGAAAAGTGATACTGTTGCCATGGTGACCCTATATGCACAGAAAAGTGATACTGTTGCCATGGTGACCCTATATGCACAGAAAAGTGATACTGTTGCCATGGTGACCCTATATGCACAGAAAAGTGATACTGTTGCCATGGTGACCCTATATGCACAGAAAAGTGATACTGTTGCCATGGTGACCCTATATGCACAGAAAAGTGATACTGTTGCCATGGTGACCCTATATGCACAGAAAAGTGATACTGTTGCCATGGTGACCCTATATGCACAGAAAAGTGATACTGTTGCCATGGTGACCCTATATGCACAGAAAAGTGATACTGTTGCCATGGTGACCCTATATGCACAGAAAAGTGATACTGTTGCCATGGTGACCCTATATGCACAGAAAAGTGATACTGTTGCCATGGTGACCCTATATGCACAGAAAAGTGATACTGTTGCCATGGTGACCCTATATGCACAGAAAAGTGATACTGTTGCCATGGTGACCCTATATGCACAGAAAAGTGATACTGTTGCCATGGTGACCCTATATGCACAGAAAAGTGATACTGTTGCCATGGTGACCCTATATGCACAGAAAAGTGATACTGTTGCCATGGTGACCCTATATGCACAGAAAAGTGATACTGTTGCCATGGTGACCCTATATGCACAGAAAAGTGATACTGTTGCCATGGTGACCCTATATGCACAGAAAAGTGATACTGTTGCCATGGTGACCCTATATGCACAGAAAAGTGATACTGTTGCCATGGTGACCCTATATGCACAGAAAAGTGATACTGTTGCCATGGTGACCCTATATGCACAGAAAAGTGATACTGTTGCCATGGTGACCCTATATGCACAGAAAAGTGATACTGTTGCCATGGTGACCCTATATGCACAGAAAAGTGATACTGTTGCCATGGTGACCCTATATGCACAGAAAAGTGATACTGTTGCCATGGTGACCCTATATGCACAGAAAAGTGATACTGTTGCCATGGTGACCCTATATGCACAGAAAAGTGATACTGTTGCCATGGTGACCCTATATGCACAGAAAAGTGATACTGTTGCCATGGTGACCCTATATGCACAGAAAAGTGATACTGTTGCCATGGTGACCCTATATGCACAGAAAAGTGATACTGTTGCCATGGTGACCCTATATGCACAGAAAAGTGATACTGTTGCCATGGTGACCCTATATGCACAGAAAAGTGATACTGTTGCCATGGTGACCCTATATGCACAGAAAAGTGATACTGTTGCCATGGTGACCCTATATGCACAGAAAAGTGATACTGTTGCCATGGTGACCCTATATGCACAGAAAAGTGATACTGTTGCCATGGTGACCCTATATGCACAGAAAAGTGATACTGTTGCCATGGTGACCCTATATGCACAGAAAAGTGATACTGTTGCCATGGTGACCCTATATGCACAGAAAAGTGATACTGTTGCCATGGTGACCCTATATGCACAGAAAAGTGATACTGTTGCCATGGTGACCCTATATGCACAGAAAAGTGATACTGTTGCCATGGTGACCCTATATGCACAGAAAAGTGATACTGTTGCCATGGTGACCCTATATGCACAGAAAAGTGATACTGTTGCCATGGTGACCCTATATGCACAGAAAAGTGATACTGTTGCCATGGTGACCCTATATGCACAGAAAAGTGATACTGTTGCCATGGTGACCCTATATGCACAGAAAAGTGATACTGTTGCCATGGTGACCCTATATGCACAGAAAAGTGATACTGTTGCCATGGTGACCCTATATGCACAGAAAAGTGATACTGTTGCCATGGTGACCCTATATGCACAGAAAAGTGATACTGTTGCCATGGTGACCCTATATGCACAGAAAAGTGATACTGTTGCCATGGTGACCCTATATGCACAGAAAAGTGATACTGTTGCCATGGTGACCCTATATGCACAGAAAAGTGATACTGTTGCCATGGTGACCCTATATGCACAGGAAAACTAATACTGGTGCCATGGTGACCCTATATACACAGAAAAAGAAAGACAGGGACACAGATGCTAAAAAAAACAAACAAAAAAACAACAACAGTTTTAAACCTCCTCTACTCAATTGAAAAAAACAACAAAAAACATTGCTTTAGATATACTTAAACAGAATCTCCATAGAACTATTGGCAGAATGCTGTCTACTGAAGGGAAACAGCTACCTCATCTAACAGCAAAGTCCTGGTTGCCATAGTGCTGAGGGTAGGGGAAGCCTCTTTGTCAGGGCCACACATTGTAGTAAGCAGCTTGTTAAAGCCAAATATTTGTGTCTTTTATATGTTTTTATGAAAGAGTAGGGAAGGGTTAGAACTTCTGTCAGGTTTTTATTTGCTGTCTATGTCCACTGGGGAGATTTACCCTCTCCACACAAAGATTACTGACACTTCCCCTTCTCTGCCCAATCAGTTGTAGTGGGGTATTCCTCATCCCTTTTTGAAGTTCAGATGCAGGGCAGGGAATGCCCCTGCCACAACTGATTGGGACATTTTTGCGTAGGCTTGTCTGAGAATCCCTTGCCTATTAACTTTGAAAATGCAAAGAATTGATTTTGAAGATTCACTTCCCCCCCACCTTCACTTCAGTGGGGTTCCCATTAAAGTTTGCAATTTGTGTTGAGTTTGTTGAACCTTCCACAACTCAAATCTAGGTAAGTTCGGCTCATCACTATTAGTGAATTATACCTGGTTTAATGCAGGACAAATTGGGCCTCATTTGCTGACAAATATTAAATGGATAGCGCCTGTTTTTTTTATTACCATCAAAAGATAACTGGCCCAAAATAGGAAAATAAAATGTATAGATTTAAAAAAATGTTACCTGTATATTTATAGCCATTACCCAAAAATACCCTAAATAAATCCTCCTACTCCTGACCCTCACAATGATATCACATATGTGTGCGTTATTTGCTGTTTGTACCCGTAGTAGGGTCTAGAAACAATAGCAAACAGTTTGCCTCCATTGGCTTCCCAAACAAGTGATCGGCTGTCACAGAGATCATGTGACCAGGAGCACAACCTACTGGCTCCTGATGGTCAGTGACCAGGAGTCGCTGATGGCGGTGCGGTGGACGCACTCCTGCCAAAAACAAACAAACTGCGGTACGTATATGTGGCAGCGTGGAAATAAAGATCCGCTCCTTGCTGCCACATATATGCATACAGCCAGCAGGAAGGGGTTAACATATAACAGTAAATGTATAAAAACATCCTCTGACAACATTTGGGGTTAGCAATGAAAATCCATTACAGAAAATGACTCCCCATCTTTGTGAACGTCTCTATACACGTGTATTCTATTATCACACAACATTCAGATTAACAATAACAAGAGAAAATGGGAGCAGTTCATGGCTCCCTCCTCCCCTCCCTTATCCCCGGTCAGGCCCGGCCTGTATATCCCAGCCAGGCCTCGGGCTCCACTCCAATCACATCGCTGTCCCACCGACAGAACGGACAGAAACACAAACCACTCACCATCTTTTAGTTGCTACCGTCGCTCTTCTGGTTGCTAGGAGACGACTGACCTCACTGCGCAGGCGCGCTGTTCGGCCTGATGTTTTAAACGGATGTTATCATAAAGAGTGCACAGCAGCAGACCGGAAGTTGTGAAGCAAAACATCGCCATCTGCTGTTATAGCTAGGATGCTGCACTTGGGCTTTTCTGGGCTGTTTGTTGTTTCTGCTCAAAATAGTGTCAGCAACTAATTTTATTTTAGTGGTAGTGAAGAGCTGTAAGAGAGCTATGAGGGTTCTCATAACTATGTGCAAATCAGTTGATCTCAGGTCCCACCCACATCCGCATGTCTTAACGCTGAACACAAGGCATTATCTTTCTTGCTAACTTATATTGGTAACCATGGGGAATAATAAAGTAATTTTCAGCATCCCTATGGAGATCAGATATGGATACGGACATCCAGCCAAGCTGGACCAATGTAAGCATCCATACAAGATCATTTTATAGCATTGCAGTTACATTTACCACAGCGCAATACACATTTTCATGCCTCTATTTCATCATTACCTGTCTCCATTTTGTTGGAATTTAAAGAACTCCAGGGATTTTTTTTCATGAACTCATGCAGTGGGGCTACGTTTGTGTCGAGGTGCCAAAATAAAGTTATACTCACCCAAAGCTCCGAGTCACAGCCATCCCTCCAGCCTCTATCCCCCTACCTGCGGCATTGGAATCTTCCTCAGCGTCCTCACGTCTATACACTGTGTATAGACATGATCATATACGGGACCTTAGACGGCTGCAAAAGAGGGGGAGAGACGTTGGAAGGACAAGTCTAGATTGCAGACGGATTGTAAGCTCTCAGGAGGAGGGCCCTCCTAACCCTATTGTTCTGAAATTGTATTGTAACTATACTGTCTCCCCCATTTTGTAAAGCGCTGTGCAAACTGATGGTGCTATATGAATCCTGTATTATAATAATAAGAATAAAGTCTAAGGCCTCATTCGCGCTACTAAGAGCTGGCCCGTACAGATCCGGCTGCTCCCGGGAAGGACAGGTGTTGCGTGTGATTGTACGCAGCAGCCTGTTAGTCTATGTGGGAGTACGCGGCCGTACGCTCACCCGAACTGCACATCCGTGCAGGTGGCCTTACTCGTACGCAGGCAGGATCCAGGGCCAGCTCTTATCAGTGTGAATGAGGGCTAAGAAATCGGCTCTGAGCTTCAGGTGAGTATTAATTTTTTATTTTTTTAACTTGACACAAACAAGCATTTAAAGGAGAACTATGAGGCGAGTGCTTTTCACTCACCTCATAGTTCTAGCCGACCTGTGACAATGAGACTGTCACAGGTCGGCTCAGTAGATCGGGAGGTGAGCGAACACATACCGGGTTCGCTCACCTTTCTATCCTGTCACGGCTCTCTGCCGTGACAGGGGGAGGGGCTGGATTCCCCTCTCCCTGCTCCGATCTGCCAGCGCTGACTGGCGGAACGGACGGGGGAGGGGGCGGGTACAGCTGGCTCTGCCTCTAGATAGGCAGAGCCAGCTGTCACTCACGCAGCTGGGCGGATCCCGTCATCTAAGTCGGGATCCGCTCCGGCGTCTCAGTAAACCGCTAGCTGTAGCTCGCGGTATACTGAGCTTAGGGTAACGGGCGGACGCTAGTTTGTGTCCTCCCGTTACCCTAAGGAGAACTATGGGGAAAAACACTGACCCCATAGTTCTCCTTTAACCCTTGCAGTGTGGTGGTACACCCACTACAACAGTTAATATTAAAAAAATCGAATAATTCCTGGAGTTCTTCTTTGGTTGTATAACTCAATGCACGCTAAATAAAATGTGGAGTGTGCGTTGTATTGGCTATAACATAAAGCACACTTTTTAAAAGAACCACTAAAGATGCAGCACACAAAATTTTTCAAAAATGCAACACAAATATGAAGAGCTTCATAGATGAGAATGGAAACCCTTTTTCTCCACTCTTTAGAAAGCTGTGAACATGCAGAGTATCACAGTTCTTATTCATTGGTGTTAACAGGCCAGTGCATAGTGGTTGCATTATACATACATTATCATTGAACTCTATGTAAAGTGCATTTTGCTAGAAAGTGCATTTTTCCCAATGCTCAAAGCTCCTAAAACATTCACATGTGAACGGGGGTCTTATTACAGTACTGGGAAATGTAATGTGCATAGGACATCATCAATTATGTCAATATAACGTGAAAAGGTTTTTTATCTTCGCCATTTCAGATCTGCAACTTTACGTAAAGTGCATGTGTGGGCTAGAAAAATCATTTTGTATTATGCATAATATGCACATTTGGCATTTTTGTCTCTTTAAAGGGTTAGTTCACCTTTTCCCCCCCAAAAAATTGAAAAGGTGAACTCACAACACCCTCCCCTTCCCCGCTGTCATGACCATCCACTGCCACCCAGTTAAAAACTTTACTACACAGCCCCGGAGGCCATGAAGCATCACATTGCTGGTAATGGGGAGCAGTCATTGGTCAGCACTGCCACATTAAAATCTCTTCTGAGCCTTCCTTCTTCCAGCATACAACCCGGAAGGAAGGCTCAGAAGAGATTCTCAATTATCAGTGCAGTCACTTGGCAGCGCTGACTGATGACGGCTCGTCATGGTCAGCATTATGAGTCCAGGCACACAGGTATTGAATGAAACAGGCTGGGGGAAATTAACCAAGAAAAGGTGGAACCCGTTAGCACCTGTCTTCTTAAGGTGCCCATACACTTTACGACCCTCGCAAGACTTTTGTAAAGTACTTTAAAAAAAACGTACGATCTGCCCATCTTGGACAGGCAGATCGTACTTGCGATCATCGTAAGTCCGACCCCCCGAGGGGCGGGCTTCCCATGACTGCAATGCTGAACGGGCAGTGTGCGCGTGCGCACACCGGCCCGTTCGGCAGTCATCTCTCGATCATGTTAAAAACCAGCCGGAAAAAACACCTATAGATGATCTGCAGATTTTCTATGGTCAGATGGAAAAAGTGCAACAGATTCCTCCACCTACGCTAAACTGTGTGGATGGAGGAATCTCCCACTGGGCCAAGCTTCAGTATCTTGCTAGTCGGCCCCGCTGGCTCTCAAAATACCTGAACAATCTCATTGGATGCAGGCATTGTTCAGGTATTTTGAGGCCGACTAGCAAGATACTGAAGCTTGCCCCAGTGGGAGATTCCTCCATCCACATAGTTTAGCGTAGATGGAGGAATCTGTTGCACTTTTTCCATCTGACCATAGAAAATCTGCAGATCATCTATAGGTGTATGGCCAGCTTAAGAGACAAAGGGCTATAGTTTAACTGTAATAGGGAAAAGGCATGTCGGTAACCTGGCTATGTTGTTTGGCATATAGCATGCCTGGATGACCTATGCATGAATAAAACTACAAATAGGTCAACAGTGAACGCAGCTGTTAACTTATTATTCCACTTGAAGCACCTTTTGACCACTTACTACCATGTCAATTTTAACCAGTTGACATCCACGGTGTTAAACCCCCTTCCCATCCAGGCCATTTTTCAGTATTCAGCGCTGCGGTACTTTGACTGACATTTATTCCGTCATGCAGCGCTGAATGTCAACCCATCTGTGATATCACAGGCAACAGACAGGAAGCAAATGATCATAAAAGGAAGGGATTTAGCTAAGGCCCTTATTACTTGTGTGATATACAGTGACCACTTATGTGCCTTGATGCTCTTTAGACATTTGTTTGTGAATGATCATTCATCCATTATGCGCCTAGCTTGGAGATAAGGAAGGAAGTATATTGTCATAATACTGCAGATTTAATTCATCTCTTTTTTTTTTAAATGCAGTCCGCCAAGATGGAAATATGGGTGCTGTCATCACTGGTCTGGTTTTTTTTTTGTTTTTTTTTAAGTACAAGTGCTGTTGTCATTCTCATCCCTTCACCACTTTGTTAGTCACTGATCTGGAACAAGCACAGATAAGATTTTGTGTTGAACAAGCATGTCCTGATCTGCTTTTCTTTTTTTCTTTCTCCGCATCTCTATAGGTTGAACTCGATGGACTTGTGTCTTTTTTCAACCTGACTTAACTATGTAACTATGATGCGAGACAAGGTTAAGGAGCAAGCTACTCCACAATCTCTCCATCAGTAGCAGCTCTGATATTTCTCTCTTGGCAGATTTTCATTACCAAGTTAAGGGGCAACAAATCATAACCCATAACAGCCACCTCAAACGTGTCTAGTGCAGGGGTAGCCAAACTCCGGCCCTCCAGCTGTGGTTAAACTACAAATCCCATGATGCATCTTTCTCCGGGAGTCATGTCTGTGAGAATCTTGCAATGGCTCGTGGGATTTGTAGTGGTCTAGTGGGAGATTACCTTCGCTACCATAGGGATCATGCTGCAACAGTTTGCATGAGCTCACACAAGTTTCAGTGGAGATACTAAATCAGGAGTAGCCAAAAGTCAGCCCTCCTGCTGTTGTGGAACTAGAAGGCCCATAATGCACTGCAAAACTCTGACAGCCACAGACATGACTTCCAGAGGCAGAAGCATGATGGCCTGCTGGAGGGCCAAAGTTTGGCTGCCCCTGTCTTCGATATTGGAGGTGTAGGCAAGTGGTGCACATGATCATTTTTAACAGGATTGTGATGATGGCACACAAGTGAGAAAGGTTTGGAAAATCCTAGTGGAATCTCAGAACAATGCAGATGGTTAGCGATATTCTTATCCCTTATAACAAAAGAGAAAAAAAAAAAAAAAAAAAAAAAAAAAAAAAAAAAAAAAAAAAACAAGTTGCTAGTCAAAGTATTTATTTGCACATAACAGCTCAACAGTTGTAACTTCGTACAAAATCTTAAAACACATACATTGCTGACAAAATATTCTGGCTATACCAGAGACTTCAGACTAAGTTTACTATATTCCAAACAGGTTTCATTAACAAATGATCTGTATATACACCATTGCATTCCATTTGTTTATCAGTTCATTATCACCCTGAGATGATGCCCAGTTGAAATCCAGTTACCGTACACATTAAATGTGAATACTAGGCCTCAATAGCCATAAAGTGCATCTCAAGC